TCTGTTTGACAGCCCTGGCTGTCCTGGAACTCGCTCTGTGACCAGGCTGGCCTTGGAACTCCCAGAAACCCACCTGCCTCTGCTTCCCAAATGCTGGGATTAAAGATGTGAGCCACCAAGGCCCAGCTGTGAGGGATTATCTGTCTTAATTCAAGTAGGAAGTCCCAGCTTCATTGTGGGAGGGGCAATTCCAAGGGCAAGAGGAGCCTGGACTATATAAAATGGAGACCGCCCAATTGAACACTGGCTGTTTGCTGACTGTGGATGCAACATGACTGCCTGTTTCAAGTTCTTCTGCTTCTACTTGTTACAACTGAACTATGAGCTAAAATAAACAGTTCTGACTTAAGTTGTCACTCACTAGAATATTTTATCACAGCAACAGAAAAGGAAATTAAAAGGGGGAACACATTCTAAGTTAAAACCATTCTCAAGTCTGATCCAACATTTCCTTCATACTGTACTCATGAATGTAGCCTTGAGGTTATCCAGGGCTATGTGGTCAGTTTGGATCTAGTCACTCAGAAACCTGACACAACCTCAGGCAAAGAATGAACAAGGGTGTGCAGATGCCATGGAACCTGTGTGGAAAGGAGGGATACCTCAGGTAACAGTCCCTGTTTCTACCTTGAGATGGGTGGGATCTCTGTCGTTTTCTACTGTGTATGCTAGGTTAGCAGCCCAAAAACTCCCAGGAATTCTCCTATCTTGGTTCCCCTTAGCAACACTGGGATTTCAGATGCTCCTACCAAGAATCCAACTTTTTTCATGGGTTCTCGAGACTTAAAACACAGATCCTCTCACTTGTATCACATTTACATTGACACCTCTCCAGCCTGTCTCTGTCTCTCTCTCTCTGTCTTTGTGTGCGTGTGCGTGTGCGCGCGTGCGTGCGTGCGTGCGTGCGTGCGTGTGTGTGTGTGTGTGTGTGTGTGTGTGTGTATGTGTGTGTACACATGTTATCCAACCGGTACTTCTGATCTACCTGTCAGCCGCTGAAGTTACTCAGGCTTGCGCCATCTCACCAGCTTGTGGTGCCATTACCACAGCTGAAGGAAACACATATTGAGGAAAATGTTAAGCCACTACAGCCTTGTGTTTTCTCATTTCTTGTTTCAGATCCTAACTCTAACAAATACAGAGGGTATAGGCAGGCTGTGGAGGAACTAACTGCAGAGCAGAAGACACCCCTAGTCAGCTAAGGAAAACTCTCAGATGAGGTCACCTGGCCAAAGAGTACCAATTGTAACTAGTATTCTGCAGATATCATTAAAACTTCAAAAATTGTTAATCAGATTTTTTAAAGTAGATTTAAAAGAAAACATTACATTTATTTGGGATGTGTGTGTGTCGTGCATCCTGTGTCAGAAGGCAACGTGAAGAAATCACTTCTTGCCTTCCTCCTTGTGTCCCTGGAATCAAACTTGGGTACCTATACTTCATTTACTAAGCAATCTGGTGGCCCTTAACTAGATTTAAAACATTGTGACCAATTAAGACTATAAGGAGCTAGCTGTGGTGGCACATACCTGTAATCCCAGCACTTGGGAGACAGAGGCAGAATCAGGCGTTCAAAGCCAACCTATGCGGCATAAAAAGAACTGAGGCCGCCGGGCGTTGGTGGCGCACGCCTTTAATCCCAGCACTTGGGAGGCAGAGGCAGGCGGATCTCTGTGAGCTCGAGACCAGCCTGGTCTACAGAGCGAGTTCCAGGACGGCCTCCAAAGCCACAGAGAAACCCTGTCTTGAAAAAAAAAAAAAACTGAGGCCAGGGCTGGAGAGATGGCTCAGATGTTAAGAGCACTGGCTACTCTTCCAGAGGTCCTGAGTTCAGTTCCCAGCAACCACATGGTGGCTCACAACCATCAGTGCCCTCTTCTAGCATGTAGGCAGAACACTGTATACATAATAAATCTTAAAAGAAAAAAAAAAAGAACTGGAAGGGCCTACAAACAAGGTGGTGTGTGCAGGAGTAGGGGACTGTCAGGGAAGAGGGGACAGATGCAAGCAAGCAGCTGGAAGCTTTGAGCACGACACGCCTGGTTTACAGGTCAAGTGAAGGAAAAGAATGGACCATCCTTGACTCTTGGTGGTGGAAACTGCCAGCTACCTAGTGTCAAGTCAATCTGCTTAAGCATTCCTAGTGTGTCTCTGAAAAGCAGATGAGGGAACTTCTGTCCTGTGTGGGTGTGCGCATGTGTGCCTATGGAGGCCAGGGACCAACTTCCTGTGCCATTCCTCAGACGCTATCCACCTTGCTTTTTCAGACAGATCTCCAGTGATTACATTATATTAGGCTGGCTGGCTTACAAGCCCCAGGGATTGTCTCTCTGCCGGTGCTTGCCACCACATTCAGCTTTTGTATACATAGGTTCTAGGAATCAAACAGAGCCTATTGTTTTGTCCTAGCCTCGGAGCCTCACTCTCACATAGCAAGCACTTGAATAAGCCATCTCCCTGGCCCACAATGTTTTTTTTATGTTTTAACTTTGAGCCGGGCGTTGGTGGCGCACGCCTTTAATCCCAGCACTCGGGAGGTTCGAGGCCAGCCTGGTCTACAGAGTGAGTTCCAGGACAGCCTCCAAAGCCACAGAGAAACCCTGTCTCGAAAAACCAAAAAAAAAAAAAAAAAAAGTTTTAACTTTGAATCATATTTAATGCCTGTCAAAACATTGACACTGGACATAAGAAATAAGGCTTTATTTAGTTTAGAAATTTCAGCCAACAGATAAAACTTGAGAAGAAACCTACCTGGAATTCCAAGACCCAACCATGGCCAATTAGTTATATGTATGTACAAATATGTGAGGGAATTGTTTGGTTTAAAGCCAGAGCCAGGGGATGGGGTTGTAGCTTGGCTAGTCTTTATGACAACTTGACATAGCTAAAGTCATCCAAGAGGTGGGAACCTCAATTAAGAAAATGCCTCCATAAGATCAGAGTTATGCAAGTCTGTAGGGCCACCTGACTGTGGATAGTGCCATCCCTGGTATGGTGGTCCTGGCTTCTACAAGAAAGCAGGCTGAGCAAACTAGTAAGTAGCACTCCTCTGTGGCCTCTGCATCAGCTCCTGCCTCCAATCTCCTGTCCTGATTTCCTTGGATAATGAACAGTGGTGTGGAAGTGTAAGCAGAATAAACCGTTGCCTCTCCAAGTTTTTTGTTGTTTTAGTGTGTTGGGTTTTTTTTTTCTGTATTTTTTTAGATATGAGTACTCTGTTGGCATGTGTGCCTGCAGGCCAGAAGAAGGCATCAGATCTCATTACAGATGGTTGTGAGCCACCATGTGGCTGCTGGGAGTAGATCTTAGAACCTCTGGAAGAGCAGCCAGTGCTCTTAACAACTGAACCATCTCTTCAGCCCCTCCCCAAGTTGTCTTGGTCATGGTGTTTTATCACAGCAGTACTAACCCTAAGACAGTGTACGAAGTCATGAATTTGATGGCCAGCACTACAAGGAAAAATAACCTGCATTGTCTTTTCTTTTGGTTTTCTGTTTGTTTGTTTGTTTGAGACTGGGTTTCTCTGTGTAGCCTTTGCTGTCCGGGAATTAGCTCTGGAGAGACCAGGCTGATCTCAAACCTGCCTCTGCCTCTCAAGTGCTGGTATTAAAGATATACACCACCACTGCCCAGCTCTGCATTTTCACTTAGCAATAGTTTGAAAGCAGTTTTCTCCCACAACAAAGAGAAGATTGCTTGCTAACTTTCTACTACACTATCCAATCTCTCCTTCCATAGTAACTAGATCCTAATTTTATGTTGTGCTGCACTTCATACAAAATTCATTTTCTTCCAGCATGCTTTGCAGCTAGGTATGGCCAAATATCGAAATGGGACAAGATGTGAAGGTAGGTATCACATGAAATTTCCAGTAAGTCTTAAAATACTGGCATTTCCCCTTTCCTTCCTGTGACTGACAATGCATAGACACTGAAGCAGCATCTGGGAAGATGATCATGAGATGCCCCTGGGGGATATACAGGGAAAATAGCCCTTAGGATGCCTGGCCTGTTTCTGAGTTGCTTTCCACAAACATGTGTAGACTTGGTTTGTTTAGGCTATTACCATGTTTCAGTGAACAAGTATTTGAGTTCCAGGTTAGGCTGGACTATACCATGAGACTCAAAATACAACAGCAACAAAACAAAAACAAAAATAGGGCTGGAGATCTAGGTTCAGTTGGCAGAGTACCTGCCTAGCATACACAAGGCCCTGGGTTTCATCTTGTCAGAACTTTGAAACTGGATACAGTGGCACATACCTATAATCTGTGCACCCAGAAGTTGAACGCAGAAAGATCAGAAGTTCAAGGTCACCCTCAGCTAACACTGCAAGTTTGGAGTCAGCATGGGCTACATAAGACCCACTTTTTTAAAAAGTAGTCATGGTGTCACACACCTTTAATCTCAGCACACAGAAGACAGATGCAGGTCCATCATTGTGAGTATGAGGCCAGCCTGATCTACATGGTGAATTCCAGGCCAGCCCAGGCTACCCAGTGAGATCCTGTCTCAACAACAAAACAACAGCAGCCAGAAACCATCCTAAAATCTACTGAAATGATTAAATGTTTTGTGCTATTAATATACACCCAACGAAAATTATTGCTGGAGGATTCCCAACTAGATTAACACTTCAAGTCCAGAAAGAATGTCTTCCAGTTTCTGAGGCAGAATCTCACAAGACTGGCTGGACTTTATAGCCCTTACCACCCATTTCAGTAAAGCTCATGGTTCCTTCTCCCACAGACCCAGCCAAGCAGAACCTGTTGAAGCATGCGTGCCAAAGAACCCAGCACGCAGTAGGTGCTCTCCAAGTATTGGTGGACTATTAGCTTGAGTTTCTCCTTCTGGTTACACCTGAAGCAAATTCCCAAACCTCCAGCTCTCACAGCTTGTCAGAACACTGCTCTTCATCAGGTCCTCACTTGTCAACAGATGGCAGGTCTCTTCCAGCCGTCACCTCTAAATGCACCCCCTATGGACTCAACACCAGGCAAATGTGTACACAGTATTTATTCAACAATGTTCTGTACTTAGTCATCACATGGCTCTCTACCTGCATCCCAGTTCGCCACGTTGGATTGTGAGGGTCATGGGACTAGCCAGCTAGCTGTGATTTACAACACGGAACACGAGGTCACAATGAAAGAGCTTTGAGATGTTTGTGAACAGAAAAAATGAGGATGACGTTGTGGGTCCTGAGTAAGGGCCCAGACAGGCTGCCCAACACACAGAACCCGAGGCCTGAGAAAGGCCTCAGAGAGTTCATCTACGGGAGAATCTAAGGCACTGTAGTGGAGGACATGATGGGCCCACCAAGTGTGGTCTCCTGGTCTCATGGCAGCCCCTTGCCTGGAACCAGTGCAATTAGCATTCCATTTAGGTTTTACTGAACATCTGCAAGCAGCATTCCCTAATGAAAATGAAGAAGACAAGGCCATTCTTGGAAGAGTGCCACAGAAGACACACTCTGTCACAAGACCAACCAGGTCCCTTTCTAAGGTCCCTGAGAATAGCAGCCTGGGAGCAACTAAGACTTTCAAAGGCTGACAAGGCACAGAGTGGATGAATGAAAAAATAACAATACATGGAAAAAACTTTGGCTTATATATAACTCCAACCCGAGGCAAGGACAACAGTGCCAACCAACATGCAGAAGCAGAAATGAGTGCAGCAGAGATGATCTCAGAAGCTGACAGCATCCCCCACACTGCCCAAATCCCAAGCCCAGCTCTCCCTCCTCCCCCAGCACCCCAGTAACGCACGTGCGCGCGCGCACGCACACACACACACACACACACACACACACACACACACACACACACACACACACACACACACACACACGATCTACAGACAGATATTGGCAATCAAGGTCTGACATCAGGAGAGAACTCTTGGCACTCTGCAATATATCACAATGAGTCTCGACCAGACAGTGAAAGGAACGCTGGCCTAGGCGTGACTGAAGAGTCTCGGTTGAGAAGTTAGGCAGTCCTCAAGACAGACAGGTCTGGAAAGTCTTTCACTTCTCCTACTTCGCTGAATGGCTGTCCACCCTGGTTGAAAGTCAGCTTATACCGCAATCGAATGGGTTCCTGGGACAGAAAAGAGACTAAGATATTAAAGATTCAAGCCCATAGTTAAAACCTCCACCCAACCTAACAGTCTCCAAGGCACAGCTTATATCTTGTTTATTTTTTTAGACAGGGTCTCACTATGTAGCCTTGGCTGGTCTGGAACTCACTGTGTAGATCAGGCCCTCAAAAGTGCTGGGATTATAGGTGTGCACCACCCCACACTCTATTTGTTTATATATTTCCTACAAACGAAATCTTCAAGTAATGGAACATCGTGGCTACCTTGGCTTACTCTCTTTGGAGCTACAAAAATAGAGTCAGGCATGGGACAATGGAAGCCTTGCCCACTTGTGCAGTCCCAGAGGAAAATTCAGAGACCCATAGGAAGACAGGATGCTTCCTCCGAGGAGTCTAGATACAAGTTCACATTTGTCCCTTGGTTCCCAGCTGTGACAGATCTTCTAACAAGCTCCAAATCAAAGAAGGCCCCACTAAGGACTGTTCCACCCCCAAACTCAACCTGGAACTACCCAGACTTGAAAGCAAAGCCTCGATGTAGCAGTCAGGGGCCCTAATTTCCTACTACCAAAGACCCAAAGACCCAGGAACATACTTTGTGTGGGTTATCAAGCAGCAGTATCTGAGATATCACAGCTGGAGGCATCAAAGGACTGAATGCAGGAAGCTTGGAACTGGATGCCGGCTGCAGCTTCACTCGCATTGACTATGGGTGGAAAATTCAACATGTTACTCCAGAAAGCCACAGCTTCAGCAAGGGCACTCAGGCCAACAGCAGTTTGATCTCCCTCAAGACACCCTTTTGGTCTCATATAGATATTTCTTATGAGCCGATAGAGGACCCAAAAAAGGCTTTCTGCCCACAGGCATTTATGTGAAGGTGTGTGGTCAACCATTGGCAGCTCAGAGGAAGCATAAAATACTAGAGAAAATCTTCGGCTGAGTTCTCAAGCTGCCTCTTACTGGCTCTGTCCTTGGGTACAAAACCTAGTTCTGAATCTTGTCAAGACATGCAGTGACAGACTACCATATGGATGAGAACACATACATATCTCAATCTTTTCTTGCTTGTTTTATAGCCTAAAGAGGATCATGCAATCCTGGATCCTAGTGGCCACAACATCCCAAAGAGAAAATAGAACCAACTCTTTTCTTCTGGGTGAGGTGTGGTGGCACATGCCTATACACCCAGCACTCAGAGGCAGGAAGAAATTCAGTTTAAGACCAAGTTTGACTAAAAGCAAGTTCCAGGCCAGCTTGGCCTATACAATGTGACCCTATATCAAAAACATATCAGGGCATGGTGGTACACACTCTTAATCCCAGTAATTAGGAGACAAAGACAGGCAGGTTTTTGTAAATTAGGGGCCAGCTTGGTCTACACAATGAGCTCCAGGTCAGCCTGGGCTACACAGTGAGACCCTGTCTGAAAAAACAAAACAAGCAAACCCACAAACAAGATTTTGTTTTATTTTGCTTTGTTTCTCAAGACAGGGTTTCTCTGTGTAGTCCTGGCTGTCCTAGAATTTGCTCTATAGACCAGGCTGGCCACGAATTCACAGAGATCCACCTGCCTCTGCCTCCAGAGTGCTGGGATTAAAGGTATACACCACCACCACCTGGTAGCATTCTTAAGGAATTAACTTAAAAACTTAACTGGATAGATCCTTATCTGAAGTCAAATAAACAGGAATATCCTATTAAATAAGACATTAAAATCCCCATTTTATGTTTAGCCAGTCTGAGTAAATATTCTGTCCCTTATACCTAATAATGTCGCAGCAAGTGTTCAGAAATGAGTCACTGGTGAAAAGATCAAAGCTGGCCAGCAGCAGATGACTCACCTTTGGGACAGCCACCTGAAACATGATGTCCCAGACAGGCTGGGTGGCAGTGCTCATCATGGTCAACAGCAACACCTGCACATCTGGGTGGCCAGGGACGCCAGTCTGAGTGAAGTGCAGCAGGATTCTGAAGCCGTTCCGGTCATACACGATGATGGGCGGCAGGCTGCCTGGTAGACAGGGACCCAAGAAGGATGAGCACTTACACTAAGATGCCATTGCTGCTGCCTCCCATCTCTTCACCTCACTGCCTGCACATGTATCCCAAATCCTCACAGGCTCCTCTAATCCAAATGGTCTCTTACCACCACCCACCTGTCCTCATCTCCATACCTGGCTTAAAAAAGGAATTTTTTTTTTTTTTTGGTTTTTACGAGACAGGGTTTCTCTGTTTCTCTGTATTGTTTTGGAGGCTATCGGTCCAGCCTGGCCTCGAATTCACAGAGATCCGCCTGCCTCTGCCTCCCGAGTGCTGGGATTAAAGGCGTGCGCCACCACCGCCCGGCGGAATTTTTTTCATTAAACTCAAACATGACTAAAGTTATGAAGGAACACTATGGAAAGCATGGAATACCACAAAGAATGAAATTTAAAACAATCCAAAAACTCAGCAAATATAAAGCCAGTTGTGGTGGACCACAACTTTAATCCCAGCCACTAAGGAACTCTGAGTTCTAGAACAACCAGATCTACATTGTGAGACCACGTATTAACATTCATGCCCTCACACACAAAACAACACTTAGATATCTATAAACAAACAGTACAAACTTTTATTTTGTTCTGATCTGTCTTGTATGACCAAGACCACACAGTCCCATTGTGGTGGTGGAGCATGGACCCAGTCTCATGTTTGTGGTGGTGAGAATGGACCCACAGTCTCATGTTTGTGGTGGAGGAGCATGGACCCACAGTCTCATGTTTGTGGTGGTGAGAATGGACCCACAGTCTCATGCTTGTGGTGGAGGAGCATGGACCCACAGTCTCATGTTTGTGGTGGAGGAGCATGGACCCACAGTCTCATGTTTGTGGTGGTGGAGCATGGACCCACAGTGTCATGTTTGTGGTGGTGGAGCATGGACCCACAGTGTCATGTTTGTGGTGGTGGAGCATGGACCCACAGTCTCATGTTTGAATGCTCGGCCCCCAGTTGGTGGCACTGTTTAGAAAGGATTAGGTGAGGCCTTGTTGGAGGAGATGTGTCATTGGGGGTAGGCTTTGAGGTTTCAAAAGTCCAAGAGAGGTCCAGTCTGGGCTCTCTTGGCCCGAAACTTGCAAATCAATTGCAAATCAAATGTGACCTTCGGATACTGCTCCAGCACCATGTCAAACTGCCTGCTTTCCGACACACTTCCTCCCATGATCATGGACTCGCCCTCTGAAACTTAGAGCAAGGCCCCAGTTAAATGCTTTCTTCTATAAGCTGCTTTGGCCATGGCATCTCCTCACAGGAGTAGAATCAGGACACACATCCTCCATATATTTTATAAAGTGATGAAGGGGCCGGTAAGATGGTTCAGCTGGTAAAGAAGACTGATCTGATTGCCAAGAAATAACCTTCTTTTCTTTTTCTTTCTTTCTTTCTTTCTTTTTTTTTTGTTTGTTTGTTTTGCTTTTCAAGACAGGGATACTCTGTTTAACAGTCCTGGCTGTCCTGGAACTCGTTCTGTAAACCAGGCTGGCTGCAAACTCACAGAGATCCTCCTGCCTCTTTTCCCCACGTGCTGAGATTAAAGGGGTGTGCCACCACTGCCCAGCCCCCCAAGAAATAATTCTAACAGCATTTGAGAAGAAAGTACATGAGCCCAGGCTGACATAAAGACACAGTGATCTCAGTACTCAGGAAGCAGAGGCAGGAAGAACAGAAACAAGGCCATCCTCAACTACATGAGTTCACAGCTGACCATGCCTACAGAAGACTCTACCTCAAGAATAATGCTCCAAGCATGTACTGTAATCATAAATATAAAAATCATTAGACATAAAGTATTCTAAAGAATGTGGTATCGGGCTGGAGACATGGCTCAGAGGTTAAGAGCACTGACTACTTTTCCAGAGGTCCTGAGTTCAATTCCCAGCAACCATATGGTGGCTCATAACCATCCATAATGAGATCTGGTGCTCTCTTCTGGCTTGCAGACATACATGGAGGCAGGATGTTATATTCATAATAAATAAATCTTAAAAAAAAGAATGTGGTATCATTTTATTAAAAGTGTATTTATGGAACTGATGTCTGAGACTGACTATGCAATCATGTGGATCAAACTTGGAATCCCAGCACCCACATAACAAGCCAAGTATCCTATGTCTAACTGATGAGGACAGAGACAGGAGGATTGCCAGAGTATACTGAGAAAATGAGTCCCAAGTTCAGGAGAGACCCCAGCTCAGCGATAGAGGACTCTCAACATCCTCTCTACTCTCGGGCTTGCAGACAGGTGTTACATACACCACTCACACGTACATAAACTTGCACCCACAAACAGAGACCTTGTAAAAGCAGGATTATAGGGGTTAGAGAGATAAGCTTAGTAGTTAAGAGCACTGATTGTTCCCAGCATGTGCATATGTGTGTGCATGGTGGCTCCCAAGGATCTCTAATTACAGTTCCAGGCAATGTGACACCTTCTTCTGACCTCTGTGGGCACCCAACATACACATGGTATTCAGCATACGTGCAGGCAAAACAATCGTCATAAAAATAAAATAATTAAGTTCAATCTTCAGCATTATGCACACATACACACACAGGTACACACACACAAAACCAGAAAAACCAGTCTGGGTGTGGTGGCACACACAATCAATACTAGCACTGTAGGAATCCTCTATGGAGGCAGAGGCAGGTGAGTTCTCCGAGTTCAAGGACAACTAGCTCTACATAGTAAATTCCAGAACAGCCAGAACCTCAAACAAAACAGAAAAAAAGGGGAGCTAGAGATGAATGTCAGTAGGTGCCTAGCCAGTATGCAGGAGGTGCTGGGTCGGACACCAAAAGCCATGATAACTGGGAACAGCAGCATACACCTGTAATCCCACAGGAAGATTTGGAGTTCAAGATCATTTTTGGTTACATAGTTCTAGGCCAGCATGGAATACATGAGACTATCTCAAAATAAAAAAGGAAAGGACAGAGAGAAGAAGAGGGAGGATATAATTCAATAGTAGAGTGCTTACTTAGAACTTGCAAGGTCTTGGCTTTGATACCCAGTACCACACACACACAAGACTTAAGAGAATGCCTGCCTCTGGCCAGCGGGTAATGCTGAATATCACCTTTCTGCTTTAATTTTTCTAGACTTTTGAAGATTCAGTATGTTATTTTTGTTTTACCCCCATTTTTAAACTTTGTGTTATAATTATTTCAGATTTATGAAGTTACAAAGGCAAACCAAATGATTCTCATAAATTCATTACCACCTTCTCCAAATGTTAATACAATTATAACCAAGAAATTAAATTGGAAATGTAGCATCGTTCCAATCAAAACTTAATAAAACAAGCATACAAAGAGTGCCTGCCATCACCAAGTACATTTAAACAACTCGGCCTGGCTTCCAGGGTTCCCTGCGCTCCAGCCTCCCCACACTCTGCCTCCACACAGGACTCTGGCTTGTAGAAGAGCAGAGGCACTCAGGCCTGTTACTCAGGCCTGTTTTCTACTGTGCAGACCACAGTGTGTAGCCTTAGATGGCAGAGCCTCTGGTTCCCCTTCCCTGAAACTGAGGCAAGACCCACTTTTCTGACTTGAGGATCCATTGAGTAGTAGCATCATTAGCTAAGTTCTTCCTTTCAGTTTCCACATTTTTTCAGTCACTTCCAGTCACATTAAACCTCCCCTCCTTGAACTGCAAGTGAACAAACATCATGTCCCTAATAGAGTTCAACCTCCTCATTAAACTCAACTGTGAGAGGTATGGGCAGGTAGACATCCTAAGACAGAGAAAAACTGCAGCTCGACAGGCTGAAAAGCTCACCTCACCTCTCCCCCAGCCTCATACCCAACTTCCTCAGTTTAAGGACCATGCCTAGCAGCTTGGAGTGGTTTGTTGTTGTTAGGGATGCAACAAAAAAGAAGGGGCACAAACTACTTACTGGGTTTCACAGACTCCAAAGGAACAAACACTTGAGCCAGAGGTGTATTCTGTGAGGCTGGGGAAGAAGCCAGTGGTCCAGCCTCCCAGGACCAGCCTGGAGAGGCCTTGGTACCTGGTGGCACTTCCTTGGGGATGCTTTTTTGTGGAACGTAATTCCTACAAAGAAAAAAAAATGATCAATGACTAACAAAAGCTATAAAACTTCAGGAATCTTTCATTGTTTCTTTTTTGTTTGTTTTTTTCTGAACAACAAGAAAACATGTATGCATGTAAACAACCCCATCCCCTTGAGAGGAAAATGAGTAAATGTAGCCATATAAACCATAATGTAACTATTAAAAGAGAATGAGGCAGATTTATACATAAACTCATATAAAAATGTCTTAAAGATGTAACAAGATATGAAAAAGTTCTATGAGGACTGTGAGAAGGCTCAGCGGATAGGACAGTTGCTGTCAAGCCTGACAACCTGTGTTTGGCACCACACTATGCACAAAACTGACTTTTAAGTTGTCCATTAACCTCCACATGTATGCTGTAGGTGCCTGTGGACACATATGTATTCACACATGTGTGTACTCAAACACAAAATAAGGTAAAAAAAAAAAAACTTTTTAAGGGGCTGGAAAGATGGCTCAGTGGTCCAAAGTGCTGCTCTTGAAGAGCTCACAGCCACCTATAATTCCAGCAGGGGATTTGATGCCCTCTTTTAGAACCAGAATACAAACACAGACACCTTTATTTTATTTATTTATTTATTTATTTATTTATTTTTAAAGAAAAAAGTAGGGCTGGCCATGGTAGTATACACCTCTAATCACAGCACTCAGGAAGCGGGGGTAGATAGATCTAGGTAAATTCAAGGACAGCAAGGGCTACATAGTGAGGCTCAGAGGAAGGGGTACTGGAGAGAAGAATCAGTCATTAGAAGCACATACTAAGAGCCTATATCTGGTTCCCAGCAACTACATCAGGTAGAACCCAACCACTTGTAATTCTAGCTTCAGAGAGTCCAACATCCTCCAAGGGCACTCAAATGCACTCAAGTACAGAAACACATATATAAATAAAAATAAATCTTAAAAAAGAGAAAGAAGGGCCGGGCGTTGGTGGCGCACGCCTTTAATCCCAGCACTCGGGAGGCAGAGGCAGGCGGATCTCTGTGAGTTCGAGGCCAGGCTGGACCGAAAGCCTCCAAAACAGAGAAACCCTGTCTCGTAAAACCAAAAAAAAAAAAAAAAAAAAGTTTATCAGTCATCCAGCCATAGGACATATGGGACATGGCTGTAATCACAGCACTTGGGAGGCAGAGGTTCAAAAGTCCAAGGTCATCCTTGGCTCCTAAAACATTCAAAGCCAATCCAGACATAAGACTATCTCACAAAACAAAAACAGGCCAGCAAGATGGCTCAGAGAAGATAAAGATACTTGCTGCAATACCTGGAGAGCTAGGTTCAATCTCTGGAACCCACAAAGAGGCAAGAAAGAACCACTTCACAAAGTTACCCTGACTCTGCATGCCCACCATGGCATGTGTGTCCCTATACACCCACCATACATACACTTGTACAAACTAAAAACATACAATAAACAAAAACATCTGTCATCGATTTCTTTCTGTTAGACTCTGACCTCTTTCTGGAGCTGTCCCAGTTAGGATGGGGTAAGACAGCAAAGGGGACACAGCATCGTGCACTTGTAATACAAAGAGCATGGCCTTCAGCAGGAGGTGCTGTGGGAGCTGCAGGCAGAAGCCACCCGCCCTGAACACTCACAGTGGTCCCGGAGACGGCTGTGGCGAAAGGAGATCCAGCAAGTTCCTGTCAGCAGAGAGACTCTCAACTGCACCCCCGAGGAGTGTGATGGCAGCAGGCTGCTTCTTGTCTTTACAGCAACTTGGAATGACAACCTGCCAAACCGAGAATGGCTAGAATAATCTCTTTGGGGCAGGAGGAGAGAAAAAGGGCAGAACAGAAGACTCCTGCACAGAAACCTTCAGGAAGCAGAAGCCAGTACAAGGAAAGGGTTGGGGCGCGAGAGGGAAAGATGCCCTAGCGGGAAGGGCAAGTGGGAACTAAAGCAAACAGTACAGATGAAGAGCTCTGGAGCCAACCCCGCAAGATGATCTGAGAAGCCCAAAGAATGGTGCCGTAGTGACCACCCTCCTGCAAGCAGACTGAGGCAAGAATGGAACTGAGTGACCTTTCCCAGAACTCCCCATGAAGAGGAAGGGCTTTCCTACCTTGGTCCTAGTGGGTATATCGCTGATCCCTGTGAGAAAGAATTAGAATAAGATTTGTCACCATAAAACTACCTTAGAGGTGACAGGGCTGGATGGCATGCAGAATGGATGGCCATTCCGTGATATCTAAAAAGTGCAGACAAGAGACCTTCCCAAAGCCAATCCACCCACCCAAAGAGACTTTTCCATGCTGCCTGAGTCCTCCCCAGAGCAGTCCTCCCCAGAGCAGGCCATCCCTTACTCAGAGCCACTCTGTGCCTGTATAATGTCCTCTCTTACCTAGGGCTGCCAGATCCTGATGAAGCAAAGATGGTCCCTCCAGGTCTATGAGCGGACAATTCTTCCCACAGGCCACTGGATTAGGAAAAACTAAAACAGATAGGGTTAAAAGGCTCAAACAAAACCAGGTAGTGGTGGCAGGCATCTTTAATCCCAGCACTCAGGAGGCAGAGACAGGCAGATATCTGTGAGTTTGAGGACAACCAGGGCTACACAGGGAAACCCTATCTCAGAAAAGCCATAAGGAAGTCTCCAACATGAAAACAATGTCTCCATTTCAATCCTACTGGTGTCCTCTTAGAAGAAATCATACCTTTCACCAACGAACTTCTGCCTCAACTGGGTGCTGAGAAGCACCCTGCCCTAGGCATTTGCATGTTAGAAGGCCAAAGGACCCAGCCCTCCAGGCATTAAGGTCCTCCTTTTCCCTTGGCCCCTGTGATCACCCAGGACAGCAGCTTAGGCTACTTCTTCAGCTTATACACCTTTGCAGGTTTCTGGTCAAATTTATCTATAGTACTCAGAGATACTCAGGCCCAGCTCCAAACAATCCCAATTTAGAAGGTATAGACCAGAGACCAAAGAGCATACAATTAAAAACTGGGGGGGAGGGGGGGGCAGTGCTGAGATGTCATCTTGGGCCTTGTGAATGCTAGGCAAAGGCCTACTATTGAACCACTAACCATTTCCTTACTCTCAAGCTCTAAGAGCACTCGAAAGGGATTAAATCTGGTACAACACAGCCATCTGCTTGCATGTGCCAGCCACGGAGGGAATCTAACCTGGCAAGGGTATGTGATGGCTCCTGTGGCACAGGCCTGGCACCTGCAAACATTTTCTCCAGAGAAGGGGACAGAAGCAAGCTCTCTGGTGCTTGTGACTTGCACACTGCCCTAAGGCAGAAGGCTCTCAGCACGCACCTCTGGAGACAGTCACTTCTCCCACTGGACCGGTCACTGCACTCCCCACGTTGACTCGTCCCTCCACCACCTGCTTGTACAGCAGAACCCCCTGGGTGAGAAGGTCATTTGCTTGAAGAATCTCCGCTGAGGAAAGAGCAGGTTCAGAACTCCTCAGTGCAGCAGCCAAGCATCTGTCTCACTCCACATGGCTCTACCAGGCTTGGTACACCCAGCACCCCGCCCGGCCCTGATCATGTGACCAGGTTCCTACCAGGCATCACCACTCAGCTCTATCTCCATGTCCCACTGTCCACACACTGGCAGCAGTTAACACTCTAAATGCTATTCTTGCAATTCTTTTAGTGAGGATTTTTTTTTAAGTTGAGACAGGGTGATGTGGATGTTTACTATTTAAAAAAATGCCTTGCCACCTGATTCAGCTATTACAAGTTTTTCATATGTGGAGAATGGGTACACAAATCAGCTTTGTACCCTGTACATTTTACCAGCTTGCAAATAAAGATCTGTTATTTCCACTGAAAATCTGGCATCCTAACTGAAACATACACACCTGGCTATAATATGGTCTCAGTCTCTCCTGAATTTGACAAAGCTCCTGGTATCTATCAGTTGCAATCTCAGAAAAACATCACCACAGCAGGATGCAACAAGCAAAACATATTCAGAGAACCCTGTAAGTCAAGGACCTGTTTTTCATACAGGAGGAGGAGGAGGAAAAGAAGGAGGAAGAGAAAGAGGAGACGGAGGGGGAGGGGGAGGAAGAAAAGAAGGAGAAGGGGAAAGAGGAGGAAGAGAAGAATAAGAGGGAGGAAAAAAAGGAGGACGAGGAGGAGGAGAAGAAAGGAAGGCCTGACACTGTTTCTTAGTCTTCCATGGGAAGGGTCACACAATGTCTCTTGTAGATCACCACTCTTTTCTGGGTTTCTGATCTTCACATTTCTTATTCACGGTCTTCTGAAGTCAGAGCTAAGACACCAGCCCAGACCAAACTCAAAGCCATCTGTCCTGCTGGGGCCTCACAGCAGCACAGTCCCAAGGACCCAAGCACATCTGTTTTGCTAACCCAGAAAAAGAGCTGTTACCTAGTGCGTCGTCATCATCGGTGGTGTCACTTGCTAGCCGGAACAGGGTCGGCCGCAGCTTTTCACATCTTTCATACACAACCTAGGGAAACAGAGCCTCGTTCACACCCTCACGCCTTGGGCCCACCTGAGTCCTCATGTACGTACACACACACACACACAGAGAGAGAGAGAGAGAGAGAGAGAGAGAGAGAGAGAGAGAGAGAGAGGGAGGGAGGGAGGGAGGGAGGGAGGGAGGGAGGGAGGGAGGGAGGGAGGGAGGGAGGGAGGGAGGGAGGGAGAGAGAGAGGGAGAGAGGGAGAGAGAGAGAGAGAGAGGGAGGGAGGGAGAGAGAGGGAGGGAGAGGGAGAGAGAGAGAGAGAGAGAGAGAGAGAGAGAGAGAGAGAGAGAGAGAGAGAGAGAGAGAGAGAGAGAGAGAGAGAGAGAGAGAGGGAGAGAGAGAGAGAGAGAGAAGAAAATATATGGGGCTCCATATATATATACATATATATCTTTTGTTGTTGTTTTGAGACACACTTTCTCTGTGTAATAGCACTAGCTTTGTAGACCGTGCTGGCCTAGAACTCACAGATATCCACCTGCCTCTGCCTCTGGAATGCTGGAATTAATGATGTGTACCATCACTGCCAAGCATATATAACTTTTCTCAAAAAATTAGCAAACAATCTTGCTCAAGAGAGACTCCACTATTCCTAGGCACACTGGCAGCTCCTTCTCAAACCCCTTCCTGGTTGAGCTGCAACAGCTCTAACAATAGAAGAACTTCCCTGCTTTGTCACCAACATGCTGCAGAGAATTTCCTGTCCCAGCAGTTCTGATGATGCAATCCCTTTACAACACTTGCCTAATATTCTCCACAGGGTCCCCCCAACCCTTGCACCACATGGCCATTTTCTTCACACTAGGAAGAGGGGAGTGAGCTCTGGACAGCTGAGCAACTTCACATCCCCCCTCAGTTACCTCTCTCCACAGCCCTGCCCTGGCCTCCTCTCTGCCTGCCTGCTACCTGTCTCTGCCCTAGGCTTCGGCTTGTCAGAGGCTGGTGCTCTCTACAGGACAAGAGACACACTGGACGTCACTAAAATTAGAAAGCCTGTCTCAAAAGAACAAGCAACCCCTCCAAACAACAATAAAACCTTCCTCTCCTCCCAGTGGCCCACGCCTTTAATCCCAGCACTCGGGACACAGAGGAAGGGGATCTCTGTGAGTTCAAGGTCAGCCTGGTCTACAGAGTTCCAGGACAGGCTCCAAAGCCACAGAGGAATCCTGTCTTGAAAAACAAAACAAAAAGCAAACAAACAAAAAGGAACTATCTACTGCTATAAGGACCATATAAAGCTTCATAAAAAGATTTACCTGGCAATCCCACCTAGACATCAAGAGAAATGTAAGTGTGTGTTCATATAAAACTCTCTACACGGTTTACATAGCAGGTTAATTTGTAATCAATAACTTGGTCTGAAAACACCCAAATATTCATCAATTGATAGCAATGCATACAAACTGGTGCATCCATGCAAAAGACTTTGTATGCTAAACTAAAAAGTTAATTAAAACTAAGGGGGTAGACAGTGTCATTCTACTTATAGAATAAAAGGTAAATAATTTATTAGTGGCTAGTGGGAATGGGAGAAAGGGAAGAACAGAAGAGAGGAATGATACAGGAACAGAGGAAGTTTGACTCTCACAGGTGCAATACATCATGCCTGTGTCAACAGGTACAATCTTAGGTCTCATCTAGCGATTACCTGCAGGGCCTCCTGGTCAGGCAGGGCCTGGCCTGGCCTGCGGTACATGCTCAGCATCTCCCGCAGCACCTTCACGTGGCTCCGTACCTCCTCCACTGCACTGACTCGCTTGGAAACCTTCTCAGACTTTTCTTGCTCCTTTGAGGGAAACACAGGACAGAGAAGTCACCTGGGTAACTCCCAAACACCAGAAAGGGAAAGGCTGCATAATGGGAGTTCAGGAAGTCATGAACACTAGTAAGGGATTGAGGGGGTGCTGCCCAGAATTTCTGTAGATGATGACAGTCTGGGGGCCTGGTGACTGTTCAACTGGACATGCAGTCTCAATTCCTCTGGAGAAACAGACCCCTGAACCTAACTCCATCAACACCAACATTTGTCACTAGGATAGAAGTTCCCAAATGCTTTGTGCCAGGAACAAAAGAAGCTGGGAAAGTCAGCAAGGGATCACAATGCTAGTCACCATCCTGCTGGTCCCATTCAGGAAGAGAACATCTCTTCTCCAAGCCAGCTTTTCCTCACGCCCTTACACACACCCACATACACTACTCATCAGCCCTATCTTCTAGAGTCAACTTCAAACATGCCTACCTCCTTGACCAAATTCTTGATCAGTCGGTTCGCAGCCTGAAGATCCTCAGGATGATTGCTCTTGAGAAGTCTTGTCAAAAGCTGAAGAGTGAACCAAAGCAGGTGAAGCTGTAATTCTCCCCAACCATTGGGAGCACAGCAATGGAAGAATTAACAGGACTATGGCCCACACTGCATGTATTATCCTACCAAGCCATACAGTGACACTGGAATGTAGGAACTAGGTCTACCAAGAAAGACTACTGGGTTTCTCATGGAGTGGAAGATATGAGGATTATATTCCATAGGAGGATATCTGGGAATATAATTTGTAATCTTCATGGTCTGAAACCACCCAAATATTCATTAATCAATGACATGGAGACATATTGTAAAGTATCTGTACAAAAGGCTACTCACCACTTTGTATGCTAAAACTAAAAAATTAAAATTAAAGGGGGGTAGACAGCATCTTTCTACTTATAGAACAAAAGACAAATAGTAAATCCCTGGCTTGTGGGAATAGGGGTAACAGAAGGAGAAGGGAGACATTTCAAATCGCAACTTAAGACAGTACTACTTGCATATGGTGGATAGAAGCCAGGGATGTTAAGGGATCCTTTGGAGTACAAAAATGCCTCATAGCAGAGAATTATCTAAATCAAAAGGCCAAGAGTGGGGCTAGGAGTGCACCTTAGTTACAGAGCACTTGTCTAGCAAACACACAACCCTGGGCTCCAGCAACGTAAGAAAAAAATGTAAATAAATAAACGTAAGGAGTACTGGGTCACATGCTCGAAGATGTATCGGGTAAGGGAGCTAGAGAGATGGCTCAGTGGTTAAAAGCATTTACATACTAGACAGTGGTGGTGCCTGCCTTTAGTTCCAGCACTTGGGAGGCAGAGGCAGACAAATCTCTTTGAGTTTGAGGCCAGTCTGGTCTATGAAATGAGTTCTAGGACAGCCAGAGCTGTTACATAGAGGAACTCTGTCTCAAAAAACAAAACAACACAAAAAAAAAGGCATTTACACATGAGATAAAAATTAATCTTTAAAAAAACATAATACCCAGGCTTAGTGGCATGTCTTTAAATCCCAGTACTTGGGAGGCAGAGGCAGGCAGGTTCAAGGCCAGCCTAGTCTACCTAGTGAGCTCTAGGACAGCCAGAGCTACAGAGTGAGACCCTGTCTCAAAAACAAACAAAAACAAAAAACACGTAATACAGAAAAACAAAAAAAGACAACAACAAGAAAAAAAACCCTAAAACACTACAAAGAGTAGAGCCGAGAGGGAACAGGTGGACAGCATGTGTCCATGTATGCACACATGCACAGTCTTCCAGCCCTGCTAACCAAAAGGCAGGGGCTGATAAAAAGCAATGCCGAGCTCGAGGGTTGCCCCAGCAGTTAAGAGCATGAACTGATCTTGCAGAGCACCTGGTTTGGATTCCAAGAACCCACATGGTACCTAGAAACCATTTGTAATCCCAGTAGTCCCAGGGCATTAGAAGCCCTCTTCTGACCTTTGTGGGCACCAAGCATATATGTCTGAAAGCACAGAGGCCATGACTCTGCCACAGTCAGGCTCCATATAAGTTCCGGGTCAGACATACATGCAGGCAAAACATTCACACACATAAAATAATGAAAAATTTTTTTTTTGGTTTTTCAAGACAGGGTTTCTCTGTGGCTTTGGAGGCTGTCCTGGAACTAGCTCTTCTAGACCAGGCTGGTCTCGAACTCACAGAGATCCTCCTGCCTCTGATGAAATATTTTTTAAAAGAAACCCTAAGACAAACGCTAAGCTTATGCCAAGGACCATCCGTGAGTCCTAGAGCCTCTCTAGTTCTCAGCTTGGCATTTGTCCTAGGGTTCTATTGTTGTGAAGAGACATAACCACAGCAGCTCTTATAAGGAAGACATTTAATTGAGGTGGCTTACAGTTTCAGAGGTTTAGCCAATTATCATCACTGCGGGACACAGTGGCATGCAGACAGACATGGTGCTGGAGAGTTAGCTGAGAGTTCTACATCTTTCACAGGCAATAGGAAGTGGTCTGCCTCACTGGGTGTTGCTTGAACATACATGAGAGCTCAAAGCCCTCCTCTACAGTGATACACTTCCTCCAACAAGGCCAACCTACTCTAACAAGGCCACACTTCCTAACAGAGCCACTCTCTTTGGGGGCCATTTTCTTTCCAATCATCACAGCATTTAACTACCTGCCCCCAATAGAGGAAGTTTCTCGGAAAGGACAATGAGTTGGGTCAGGCTTACGGAACTAAAAAGGATTCATGCCAACATGCACCCCTTTCCTATCATGCTATCCTGCCCCCAATTCCACAAATTACTGAACCATCAGCCCCAAAATCCCCCACTTTGACAGGAACCCTTATACAGATAAAGGATGGCACATAGTATGGCACTGATTATGTGGCCCACCCACAGGAATGTCCAGACTTCCTGCTATCTCATGTCTGAAAGCACAGAGGCCATGACTCTGCAACAGTAAGGCTCCACATAAGTTCCGGGTCAGGAAGGGGATTTTACCTTTGACTTTTCCTCATCAGCATCAAAGATGGAGCTCTTTGGCCAGGGAGAGGGTGGGGGTAAGATTTTGTCCATCGGTAGTTTAGGATCTTGCTTTATTATACCTAAAATGTGAAATTGATGAGTTGAGATGTTAATACTGAAGGATAAAATCTACAAGTCCCTGATTCCTAACAACTCCATACCCTATTATGCGGCAAGTCAGGCATTAGCAGAACTGGAGGTCCCTGAGGATGGGCCCTGCCCTTCATAATTAGCTTTGGGTGCACCTCCCATTTCGCTGGCGATACTCTGTTGTTTCTGTTTTGTTTTGTTTCCAAAACAGGCTTTCTCTGGCTGTCCTGGACCTCACTCTGTAGACCAGGTTGCTCTCAAGCTCAAGATCCTCCTGCTGGAATTAAAGGTGTGTGCCACCACTGCCTGGTCTTTTTCTTTTAAAAAAATAACCTTTATCATGGGAGGGATACATACAAACCACAGCACACATGTAGAGATCAGAGGACAATTTGTGGCAATTTGTGGCAGTCAGTTCTCTCTTTCTACCGTATGGGTTCCTGGAGCTGAACTCAGGCCATCAATCTTGCCAACAAGTGCACTTACCCATTGACCCATCTCACCAGCCCCCACTCTTTAATTCTGAGGAAAAACAACCAAGCCAAACTGCCTCCTTGGAATGTGAAATGCTGTGTGAAATGGAGGGACGTGGAGGTAGAACGGCCTCGTGGGTGTCTACTAAAGGGGAGTCACCTCCTCTGGGTAAACAAGGCTATTTTACATATCTGCTTTCCTTTAACCCTTTTCATCTATCACATAAACTTTGCTCAAAAGAAAAGTATCTGAGTCACACTAATGACCCTGGTGGAGATATGACATTTGAAACTGTCAGAAAGACAGTCACAAAGATATCCTGCTGTTCCTTCTTTAATCTGAATGGGTAACTATCATCACCTGGATAGGAAACTACCTCTCAGAAAAGGTATAACTTCAAGAAACACGATACACCTGAAGGCATGTGAAAACTATGGGAAGAATAGAATAATTCTCTTAGTGAACTATGTACTTACACACCCCAGAGAATCACCCTTCATGCAGATCATCAGTGCTGAGCTTGCCAACTTTTCAGAGCTCTGATTGGTTTTTTGATTTACTTTTTACATGCGTAATATATGTGAACACTCACGTGTATGTGGGCACTTTGGTGGCATGTTTGTAGAATCTGGAAGCTGATGTCAGCTCACTCAGTACGACCAGTCTAGCTAGATTGCTTGCCCAGGAAATCCTGTCACTTTGTCCTGAGGGCTGTATGAGTTCTGGGGATTTGAACTCTGATCCTCAGACTTGCATAGCAAGTGCTTTATTCACGAACATATCTTTACAGCCCTGAGTTCTAACTCTTTGTTGGTTTTTTAAAACATGGTTTCTCTGTATAGCCCTGACTGGCCTGGAACTCACTCTGCAGACCAGGCTGGCCTTGAACTGACAGATCTGCACACCTCTTTTGAGTCTTTTGAATGCTAGGATTAAAGGAGTGTACTGCCTGCCTGAGTTTTAACTTTAAATCCTTTGTGTACACTCTCAAATCCAAGGGGGGAGAATTAGGTATTGTGATCAATCATTTCCCAACGTATTCTCTGTGTTTTTACATTTTTTTATGATTTATGTTTTATGTGCACTGGTGTTCTGCCTGCTTGTGTGTCTGAGTGAGGGTACTGGATCCCCTGGAACTGGAGTTACAGATGATTGTGAGATACCATGTGGGTGCTGGGAACTGAACCAGGGTCCTCTCAAAGGGCAGCCAGTGTTCTTAACCACTGAGCCATCTCTTAAGTCATTTTGAAAATGTGTAGCATAGTCTGGCCTTGAACTTCTTCTGATCCTCCTGCCGCCTCCTCCATTAGCAAATCCTACTGGAGTGTGCCACCACAACTGGCCCTTATTCTCTTAAGATAAGGTCTGTTCAAAATTGAGCTATGTTGGCAGCCAACAAGTCTTAGCAATTCTCTTATCTTTCCCCTCTGCAGGGCTGTGCACATGTCAAGCCCAGTATTTTACTTAGGCACCGGGGATTCAAACTCACTCTCATGCTTGTACACAAGCAGTTACCCAGTAAGCCACCTTTCAGACATCATCCTAAGCCCCCTCACCCCTCTCCACTGCTGCAGGGCCTGCCTGATAATTCATCAACTGATAACCGAGAATACAGCGCTTTCTGTCTTCCTTTTTTCCATGTTCCTGCAGATGAGGAAATTCAAAGTTTGCCCATGACCCTTTTGTCTTTTTCTCTGGAACTCCAATTATACTGTCTTCAGTTTCCTTTTGAGTTTATTTTATCTACAAGTATAAGAACTCATAAAAGGGACCTTGAGTTCCCAGTAATAATTTCACTAAACATCAACAGTCTTCAACAAACCCTCCTGACATAGCTTACTGGTAGGGAGCTTGCCTAGCTTATGCAAGTACCTAAATAAAAATACTCACCTAAAATAAAATACTTCTATAGATAGAAACAAACAAAAACACATAACAGCACATATACAAGGTCTGATTAAGGCCTTATATCACCTCAGGAACTGCCACAAAAATCAGGCCAGAACTTACGGCTTGGTTTTCAAAGCTCCAGGACTCCCCAGGGCCCAGAGAACTCTGATGCAGCTCCCAAAAGGCTGAGTGCATGCAGCAGAGGCAAACAGCAAGTGATGAGCCCAGTTCCTTTTTCCAAAGGGTCTTACATGAAAGGAATCCAAGAACCAGACAGAGCACACAAAGACAGATGGCTATAACTCCCATACCAACATCCCAAGACACTGGGTAACTTGCAAGTTAACAATTCTTCTTGAAGCCACATGCTGGGATCACGGACCAACAACCACTTAACCTAAAAGTCTAAGAAAAGATGTTGCTTAGGAGGAGCAACGGAAGGCAAGCTAGTAAACACAGATCAGGTACGGTGCATCATCCCAGCCCTGGGAAGCTGAGACAGGAGAATCATGAATTCAAAGTCAGCCTGAGCTATATATGTAAGATCATTTTACATTTATTTTTTAATTTATTTATTAGGAGGAGAGGTACACAAGTGAAAGTCAGAAAACAACTTGGGAGAGTTGGTTCTCTCCTCAACCATGTGTGTTGGAGAGATGGCAAGCCATCTTGCCAGATCCAGCCTGAGCAATAAAGGGAATCTTAAGTAGCACAGTGCTGGCCTCCTATGCATGAAGGCCTCAATTTAATCCCAGCACTGTATCAAAAAAGCAAAACAAAACAGGCACAGTGGCAGCACATGACAGGTGAAGGCAGGAGGATAAGGAGCAAGGTCTCCCTCAGCTACATAGTGAGCTTCAGGCCAGCCTAGATTACTGGAGACCCTGTACCCGGAAACAGAGCACCACAGTGAGGACAGGTGACATGAACGCTTAAGTCAGACCTTGCTTCTTCAGCATCTGATAGGCATCTCGGATCTTGATGTCCTCTGGAAACCAGACCGTCCAGCTAAAGAGGATTTCGATAACTCTTCCTTTAACCTTCTCCGTGGCCCAGGCCCCTAGGTACTAAAGTAAACAGGAGAATTAGAGAGCTGGAAGGGACTTCGGCCACCTGGTCAGCATTTCCCCCAAAGAGATACTACTGAAGTCCAGATGTGAGCTGGATCGGAAATGAGATACACCCGGAGGACAAATTCCCTGGCACCAGACCCCAAAGCCTCTTCTGGATTCAAGATGATCCAATCTCCACTATTAATACCAAAGCTCATTATGGATTGAGAACAGTGGTTCATTCCTATAGTCCTAGTAGCTGGGAGACCAAGGCTAGAGAATTGCCACACGTTTGAAGCCAACCTGAGCTGCACAGTAAAATCCTGTCTTTAAAAAAAAAACCATGGCCAGGCGTTGGTGGCGCATGCCTTTAATCCCAGCACTCGGGAGGCAGAGGCAGGTGGATCTCTGTGGGTTCAAGACCAGACTGGTCTACTGAGCGAGTTCCAGGACAGCCTCCAAAACAATACAGAGAAACCCTGTCTCGAAAACAAAAAACAAAACAAACAAACAAACAAAAAAAAACCCATAACATCCGGGCCGTGGTGGCACACACCTTCAACCCCAGCACTCAGGAGACAGAGGCAGGCGGATCTCTATGAGTTCAAGGCTATCTTGTTCTACAAAGCTACACAGAGAAACCCTGTCTCGAAAAACAAAAACAAACAAACAAAAAACCTTAATAACAAACCCCAACAATAAAAACCCCAGAACCAAGCCGGGTGTTGGTGGCACACGCCTTTAATCCCAGCACTCGGGAGGCAGAGCAGGCGGATCTCTATGAGTTCGAGGCCAGCCTGGTCTACAGAGCGAGTTCTAGGACAGCCTCCCAAACAATATAGAGAAACCCTGTCTCGAAAAACAAAAAAACAAAAAAAAAAAAAACACAGAACCAAAGTGCTAGGACAGTATACATGCCAAGCTCTCCCCATGGGTCATTCCCATTTATATTATACAGTGATTTTCTGTGTTCTCTGGAGGTTCTAATTAATTATGGACCTGGAGAGAAGGAATCCTGAAAACCCCCAACTGGCACTGTGCAGTGCTTAGTACTAAAGACACTCAAAGCTTGAGATCGGCTCTCGAACAGATGGTATAGGTAGGACTAAGCCCTTTATATGAAGGGCGCCAGGAATGTTTAAAACCAGTCAGAGGCCAGGAGTGGAGGCTTAGACCTTTAATCCCAGCACTCTGAGTGTGAGGCCAGCCTGGTCACAGAGAGCCAAACCAAACAAGACAAAAAGACCAGAAAGGGTCAGAACTCAACTGAACTGCAGGATGCACACTAGGCACCAGAGAACTGTGACTGTTCCTGTCGTGGGTTCTTTATACACTGGGAAGATGTATTGCTGTGACTGATGGAATAAAAGGCTGAATGAGCAATAGCGAGGCAGGAGAGATAGGCGGGACTTTCAGGTAGAGAGAGAGCTCTGGGAAAAAGAAAGATGGAGTTGCCAATCACAAGTGGAAGAAACAGGATGGGCAGTACAGAGTAAAAGTAACTAAGCCACCTAAAAGAACATAGATTAATAAAGATAGGGGCTAATCCAAGTTATAAGAACTACTAGGAACAAGCTGAAGCTAAGGCCAAGCTTTCTCCATGTTGCTACTTGTGAGCTGGCGGTACAAAGAAAACTCGGTCTACAGGTTCCATCCAAGAGAGGATCCCTATGCCAGTGGGACAGCTTAATACAAGTGCTAGGAATAAAGGTGCAGGGGACAAGTCAAGAGGCAATGTGAACTAGTCACACCTGGCTATCACTCCGCTATCTCTACCAGAAAACCAGGCTTCATGCTAGTTTCTCACCTCGTGTAGGACACATAGCTCACAAATAAGTGGTGCCATTTTTTTGGTTTTTTTGTTTGTTTGGTTTTGGTTTTTCAAGACAGGGTTTTTCTGTGTAGTCCTGGCTGGCCTCAAACTCACAGGGATCCACCTACCTCTGTCTTCTGAGTGCTGGGACTAAAGGCATGCACCACTACTATCACCTGGCTAGGTGATGCCATTTTCAAGGGAAAACAGAAATCCTAACACTGGAAGGACAGAGGTTAGCTATGAACCTGACTACCCTTCCAGATGTTGGCAAGGAGACAGCTTTTGCAAGAAGGGCCTCTGTTCCTAACATATACGAAGGTTCTGCCCAAAAACAGGCCTGCCTCTCATCTACAGGGTGACAAGTTTGAAGGTGAGGTACGGGTGCAACATGCCAAATCCATGTACTTACCTTTGGGGACAACACTTTGATCAGCTCGTTCAAGAAGCGGAACTTGGCCACCTCACTGTGGAACTTCTCCCCACAGTGGTTCATGCATATCTCCAGAACCTGCAAACGGAAAGCCAGTACAACAGGCTCGCCTCAAGGCTTACAGACCCCAGGTGCTGATGTGTAGACCCAGAGCTAACTTTCCCTCAAGTCCTTCCTCAAGACCCCTGGCAGGAGAAAGCAAACATCTTCTGATTACAAGAACTATGCTGGGCTGAGGCTATGGCTCAGCTGGTAGCCTTTGCTAGAATGCTTGAAGCTCTAAGCCCCAGCCCCAGCAGCACAACTGGGTGTGCACACCTGTAATCCCAGCACTTGGGAAGTAGGCAGGAGGGTAAGTTTTTGAAATTCATCCTTAGCTACATTGCTGAGTTTAAAGCTAGACTGGGCCACATGAGTTACTGTACCAAGAAACAAACAGCAGCCTGGTCTACAGAGCAAGTTCCTGGGCAGCCAGAGTTACACAGAGAAACCCTGCTTTGGGTGGAAGTGGGGGTGGAGATGATGGGGCTGAAGAGATGGCTCAGCAGTTAAGAGCACTGGCTGCCAGGCATTGGTGGTGCACACCTTTAATCCCAGCACTCGGGAGGCAGACGCAGGCGGAACTCTGTGTGTTGGAGGCCAGCCTGGTCTACAGAGCGGAGTTCCAAGACAGCCTCTAAAACAATACAGAGAAACCCTATCTCAAAAAACCAAAAAAAAAAAAAAAAAAAAAAAGCTCACAACTGTCTATAATCCCAGTTCCAGAGGATCCATGGCATCAGGAACATATGTGGTACACATATTTGTGCATACAGGCCAAAATACCCATTTACATAAAATAAATAAACCTATATATATATAAAAAAGAACCAAACCACTAGCTGCCCTTCCAAAGGACCTAAGTTCAATTCCCAGCACCCACATTGTGCTGTATACTGTCTGAAACTCTGTAACTCCAGTTCTAAGAGATCTGGCATCCTCTTCTGGCCTCCCCAGATACTAGGCACATGCGTGACATGTGTGATACACAAGCATACATGCATGCAGGCAAAACACTGTTACACATAAAAAAATATTTTAAAAAGCCAAAAACAATGGCCACATGTGATGACACATACCTTTAATCCCAGCAGAAGCAGGTGGATCTCTTGAGTTCCAGGCCAGGAGGGGCTACACAGTGAGATTCTGTCTTAATACACCAATGTCCTCAGTTTAGAGGTGTCCAGAAGAAGCTCAGTGGGATATTTAGATGACTCTTTGGGCAAGTGAAACTGGCCTAAGGGTCTCCCTCCTCCAGTGCTAAGAACTGCCTGCATCCAAAGGCAAGTTGGGACTGCACTCCCAAACCCAGACTAGTTTTTCCTTTTTCTTTCTTTTCTTTTTTTCTTTTCTTTTCTTTTTTCTTTTTTTTTTTTTTTTTTTGAGACAGGATCCTTCTACTATGTATCCCTAACTGTTCTGAAACTTAATATGTAGACCAGGCTGGCCTCAAACTCAAAGATCCGCCTGTCTCTGTCTCCCAAAGGCTGGGATTAAAGGCATAAATCACCATGCCCACCCCACAATGATTTTTATTATCAAATGATTCTCTGTTTCTGAGACAGAGCCTCATGGCATAGCCGTGGTTGACCTAGAATTCCCTATCTAGCCCAGACTAGTCTAATCTTACAACATTCCCTTTGCCTCTGTCTCCAGAATGCTGGAATCACAGGCCTGTACCACCACACCAATTTTTCCCCAGACTGATCTCTAGCTGGGATCCTCCTGCCTTAACCTTCCAAGTGCTGGATTACACAGCCAGCCTCCAACTTTCTTTTACAGATAGTAATTGTTCTTATTTTCAATTCTAGAAATAGGAAATACTTCATTTTCAAAAAAGGAATGGGGAGGCTGGAGAGATGACCCAATAGTTAAGACCTGATCCTCTTGTTGAGGAACCAGGCTCAATTCCCAGCACCCACAGGGGAACCTGTGTCCTCTTGGGCCTCTGTGGGCACCCAGATGTACATATAGCGCATACGGCCGGGTGTTGGTGGCGCATGCCTTTAATCCCAGCACTTGGGAGGCAGAGGCAGGCGGATCTCTGTGAGTTCAAGGCCAGCCTGGTCTACAGAGTGAGTTCCAGGACAGCCTCCAAAACAAAACAGAGAAACCCTGAACCCTGTCTCGAAAAACAAAAACAAAACCAAAAAATATATAGTGCATATACTTACATTAAGCAAAACACTCAAAAACATAAAAGTAACCCCCCCTTTTTAAAAGTGTTTCCATCATTATGTACATATTCAGAGAATTCATATTAAAATTTGGACTTTTGGTGGTTTTTTTTGGAAAGGTGAAATTCTAATAACACTGGCCCAAACTTAGCCATAGCAACCATGAGTGAGGCTTGAACAGCAACTGCCCTGTATAGACACAACACCAAGTCCACCTTCCATCTGTATTCACTCTGTTGATTGCCAGCCCTGATCCAAGTTGGGGGCAAATGGAAGTGAACCCCTTCTTTCCTTCTCCCAAAGCGGGCTCAGTGCTGTCTTAGTAAGCAACTGGGAAACCCCGTGGCCTGTTGTCAATGCCTGGAAAGGAGAACCTGTCTAGTGACCCCAGTGCTTTCTAGAGTTTCAACAGGAATATGTGGGCCAACTCACCGTCAGGGCGTAAAGGGCTTCCTTCTCTTGTGGAGACTGGATCTTGTGGGCCAGTAGCCAGGGTGCATGTGTTGGGCTGGAGAAAAATCAAAACAGACCCGGATTCTGGGTGGGGTGGACCATCTAAGCAACCTAGCAGCACACACTCATCTCAAGCTGCCCCCCCCCTTTCAGAACAGTGTCCCAAAGCAGAGGAAGGGTGTACCCGGCAGAGCTACAGCATAAACCTGTGAGACACTGATGCCCCGCACCGTGTCTGTGGTACTTGGAGCCAGTGTCTGCCCGGGCTACATCATACTCCCCTTGGCCACTCCCAGAATAGCAGCAGAGGCAGTCAAAGCTCAGGGCAATAAAGCCCCCTCCACCCTACAACAACCCCTCAATGAACACTAGAGCAAGAACAGTGAAAGCTTTGAGCATACTCCAAATAGGTGACTAAGCAGCACTGTGCAGGTCAACACCTGGGTAAATCACTATTTCTCAGTTCCTTTGCAGGGGCTTTGGAGATAAATTCAAAAAAACTTGCTCTAGGGTAGAGATGTGAGTCAGTGGTGGAGTGCATGCTTAGCATGCATAAGGCCCTCAGTCCAATGCTCATTCATCACTGCAAATAAAAAGTTAAAATAAAATAAAGCCTTGCCACTCTTTCTCCTACATAAAATAGCGTATCTAAATCAGAATAAATATGGTGCTAAGAAATGCTCAGCAGTTAAAAGCACTTGGAGCACATGCAGAAGACCTGGGTTCCCAGCACCCACATGACAGCTCACAACTATCCCCAGAACTCCAGTCCAGGGAATCTAACCTCTTCTAGTCTGTGGGCACCAGGCATGCATGTACTGCATTTACATACATGCAGGTACAGCACACATAAATTTAAATAAATCTCTCTTTTTTTTTGGTTTTTTGAGATAGAGTTTCTTTGGTGTGTGCCACCATGTCAGTTTTCCTAAATTTTTAAATCATAGCTATTTTATGAGTATGTTTCCAGTCCTTGAGAAACCTAGTTCAATGTATTTTATAACACAGCACAATTTTAAAAAGGGGGAGCTGGAGAGATGGCTCAGAGACTAAGAGCACTGACTGCGCCGGGCGTTGGTGGCGCACGCCTTTAATCCCAGCACTTGGGAGGCAGAGGCACGCGGATCTCTGTGAGTTCGAGACCAGCCTGGTCTATACGAGCTAGTTCCAGGACAGCCTCCAAAGCCAAAGCCACAGAGAAACCCTGTCTCGAAAAACCAAAAAAAAAAAAAAAAAGAGCACTGACTGCTCTTCCTGGGGTCCTGAGTTCAATTCCCAGCAACCACATGGTGCCTCACAACCATCTACAATTCAGTCTGGTGTTCTCTTCTGGCCTGTAGGCAGAACACTGTATATGTAATAAATAAACAAATCTTAAAAAAAAAATCTTAGTAAAAAAAAAAAAAGCCAGTCATGTTATGATGCACCTCTAATCCCAGCATTCAGGAAGCAGAGGCAGAAGGTTTTCTGTGACTTTAAGGCCAGCATGGTCTACATATGGAGCTCCAGAGAAGCCAGGATTTCATAGCCAGATCCTGTCTCAAAACTCAAAAGCAAACAAAAAAGCAATAGCTGCAAAACAAAAAAAAATTTTAAATACCAATCTGCTTAGATTGTGAAGAAAACAGAACGAAAGCGTTCCCAGCCGCAGGCCCAGAGACAAGGGTCTGAGTTCTGCCTCAGGCTCCCAAAATCAAGTGTGTTTAAAGGAGCTTACCCGTTGGGGTCGGTGTTCACCTGCTCACAGAAATTCTGGATGGCTGACCAATCCTGCTCCACCGAGCTAGGATCTGTGGCTTTGTCTGTCAAGGAATCAACAATAAAGTTAAAGGAGTACAAAAGAAATGTGTACCTTCTGCACAGGCTGTGGCTCATAGCTCTAGAGGTCAGATCAGTGACTAGGGAGCTGAAAGGGGCAGCGACGATGCCTGGGTTGCTCACCAGTCAGTACCACACGCCAGAAATGTTACACCCTTACTGAAGATACACCCGATGCATGAATGGGAAGACTAATTAGTAAGCACAGCCATTTCTAGGGTCAAAGGTGGTCTGCGTGTGCCGCCTTCATGCCAGTGCCAGGGGCTCCCACCCTGGCTTTGAACTGTGGTTGGTTGGTAGCATCTGGGAGCTGTCAGTTCCTTAGCCTCAAAACAGAGAGACAACACCCTGCCACAGGAATCTATTCTGGTTCTCGCTCTTCCTACAACGTTCTCGACTCTGGGCTGTCCACCCTTGCCCTGGCCGAGAAGATCTATTCTCAGAGGTGAAATCTGATGTGATTTCTCTTGCCCAGGTCTGTTCCTCCTCTCAGATGTCTCTTTTAGACTCCTCAGGAGGCCAATGAGACGGATCCACAGGTATCCAAGCTCAATGACTTGAGTTGATCCCACATGACGGAAGGAAAGAACTGACTCCAAAAGTTTCCCTGACTTTAACTTTCACACTGTAGTGGGAAAGAAACACAACACACACACACACACACATATACCATTTAAAAACTTTTTAAAGACTTATCAGAATTCTTTCAGGTAGAGAAAACTCCTCTCCCCATCCAGCTCCAGCACCAAGTCTCCTCCCTCCTGACTCCCCAGGACTCCATCCTCAACCTAGAGTCAGCTAACTGCTTCCTATTTCAGTCACATGTGTGTCATGTGGAGGTCACATGATAATCAAAGGGCATATTTATGGACTTTTATCCTAAACACAGAGCTCCTCCACCCCTACACACACCACAGGGCCCTATCTTGCAGAACCCTATCTGCCAATCAGATCACAATTCAAACACTACCCTTTCCTAAAGACTGCCTTAGGAGCTGGAGTCCAAGCCCAGTACCATAAAAGTAAAATAACAATAATAAATAATCTCCTTGATCTTTATCTCCATACAAAATAGATGATGTCTTATTCCTCAAAACTTTTTTTTCTTTTTTCACAGGGTCTTGATATTTTGCCTAGGCTGATTCCCCATTCCAGCAGCCTCAACTTCCCAACAGCAGGTGCAGACTGGCATTCTAATGCCATTCCTCTCCAAATGCCACTTTATGGTGGTGATCTCCAATTCTACCCTAGATAATCACAACCATCAATTAATATCCTTGAACTTTGTAACTCTCTTTTAATCATAAAATATAAGGAATATAGCTGTTTTTGGTTTGTTTGTTTTTTCTGGACATGTGTCTCTGTGTAGCCCTGGCTGTCCTGAAACTCGTTTTGTGTATCCATGGCCAGCCTGAGGCAAACCTTATCTGTCCCCATCCGCTCCTCTCTGGAGGTGTATGGGGAGGGGGTGGGCATGGCGCCATCAGCTCGTTGGGTGGAATTCATCTCTCTCACATCCCAAACACTGACACGACGCTTAGCAGTGGATCACTCTCGACTTGTGTGTCAGTGAAGAATGCAGTTAGCTTCGAGAAGTCAATGTGAATTGCAGGACACATTGATCATTGACACTTTGAACGCACTCTGTAGACCTGGCTGGCCTCAAACTCACAAAAATCTGCCTGCCTCTGCCTCCCAAGTGCTGGCATTAAAGATGTGCACTACCATTCCCAGCTAGGAATACAGTATTTTCAACCCTCATGTGATTTAGGAAAAGTGTCTAAAGTGCCACCACAGAGTAAGTAATCAATAATTCTGTAATTTTAAATAGTCTCTCCTTTTCCTATAAAAATCATGCATATGCCTTATTGTAACCATAAAACCCTTGAAGTCAGATGCCACATTATTCCTATAGAGCTTAGCAAAAGGCTTTCCAAATAGGTATGAAATACAGATGGTCCCTGACTAACCATGAAATGACTTCCCATAAAGACTACCTCAATAAACCAGGTGGTGGTGGTGGTGGTGGTGGTGGTGGTGGTGGTGGTGGTGACACACACCTTTAATCCCAGCACTCATGAGGCAGAGGGAGATGGATCTCTGAATTTGAGGCCAGCCTGGTCTACAGAGCGAGTTCCAGCACAACCATCGTTAAACAGAGAAAACCTAGCTCAAAAAAAAACAAAAAAACAAAAAAACAAAATCAAATAGATGGATGGATAGATGGATGGATGGATGACCCCGATAAACCTTACCCTACAAAATGTGTAAGTTGACAGTTGGTGAGATGGCTCAGCTGGTCAGGCAATCACCAAGCCTGACAACCTCAGTTTGATCCCTGGGACCCACATGGTTAAGAGAGAAAACTGACTCCAGCACACACTTGAACATAACAAAGTTAGTAACACGTGGCTGGAGGGAGAGCTCAGTGTGTAGGAATGTGTACTGCTCTTGCCGAGGACCTGAGTTCAGTTCCCAGCACCCAGCTCCAGCTCCAGGGGCCTCAGCACTCTCTTTTGGCCTCCTCCAACACCTACACTCACATGCACAAAACACACACACACAAAATTAAAAAGAAAGTAAATCTTAAAAACAAAACAAAAACAAGTTGCCTAGTTATTCTAAGGTCCTAAGGACCATCTGTAGCTATTCAGATAATTTTTTTAACACAGTGCTTCTCAGACTCAAGTGTCTGAATCACCTAAAAATGATTCACCATTCAAGCTTCAGCTTCAGAAGGCAAGGTCAAGGTTGACACCTCAAAGGAATTTAGACCAGCAGAGCCAGCATGCAGAATCCAGCCTTCTCCTTCATGCCCTTCTGCGGGGCTCCTGGGGAGGAAGGGCACAGCAGACAGGGTCCACTGTGGCAAAGGAAGTTAGGAAGCTCCCAAACCCTTGACCAAGGGAAGCAGCCAAAGGCTCCACATGGCACAAGATGTTTCTTCTTTATCTTCTAGATTTAGGGCAAGGATTCATTCAAGGGTCACTACAGCCCCAAAGTAATGGCTGTCACTTTTATTTTTTCTTTCTCTAGTTGCTTCTTAAGCAGGACTCCAGGACAAGGTCCTCAGAATGGCTCACATTGATGCTATCATCTCACCCTTTACAACTGAGGAAACTCTGTTCCAGGCACAGAGCAAGAAAACCATACAAACAAAAGTTAGGCCCCAGATCAGCCTGGCTCCAAGTCCTGGTGGGAAGGTTTGGATCCTTGACAAAGGCAGGGCTGGCTCTCAGGAGAAGTTTGACTCCCTCGAGGCAGGATGAGGGGATTTCTCACCTTTACCTGCTCCAGCACCAGAACACTGCTGGCACAGATACTCACTTAAGGAATTAATGTGTCTGCTGTGAGGGGGTAGGATAGCTGCCTGGGCCCTTGCTGCCGACGGAGTGTGGCTATTTCAGTTCTGAAATGCCTCTGAATATATAATCCCTGACTGGCCAAGCTATTTCAGAGGCCTCAGGCAGCTACAGAGAAAATGACCCCCAGAGGACCCAGCAACTGGGTCTGACAGGTGACAACAGCTGCTGGGATGTGTCTGACACAAATCTAAAGCAAAAAGAGCTAGGGAGACATAAGGAACATCCAGCAAAATGCTGAGAGAACCCCCTTCTTTGTTTTGTAACTGTTGTGGTCCTCAGGACACTGAGAATGGACATCCAGACTCCTTACTGAGGCTGTCCTTGGAAGAGACAAGGAGAGTTCAAGAAATAACACCGTTAGCCGGGCGTTGGTGGCGCACGCCTTTAATCCCAGCACTCGGGAGGCAGAGGCAGGTGGATCTCTGTGAGTTCGAGGCCAGCCTGGTCTACAGAGTGAGTTCCAGGACAGCCTCCAAAGCTACAGAGAAACCCTGTCTCGAAAAACCAAAAAAAAAAAAAAAAAAAAAAAAAAAAAAGAAATAACACCGTTGTTACATATTTGCTTAATAAAAAGTGTTCCTAAACCGGGCGTTGGTGGCGCACGCCTTTAATCCCAGCACTTGGGAGGCAGAGGCAGGCGGATCTCTGTGAGTTCGAGGCCAGCCTGGTCTACAGAGCTAATTCCAGGAAAGTCTCCAAAACAATACAGAGAAACCCTGTCTCGAAAAACCAAAAAAAAAAAAAAAAAGTGTTCCTAGATTTGCTGCAAGCCTGTTCCTGTTCTGCTCTGGGTTAAAGTTATTAAGACAGCAGTAGAGATTCTAGCTGTGAGTGAAATAGCTCCTGGAATGACCATTTGAAAAGTCAAATGATCTCAGCCAGCTGCCAACCCATCACCAGGGTCACGACTCTGTCACCAGAGGCAGAGTGTGCTTGCAAGGGGAGCCTGAAGGCTAGAAGCTGCCACCCCAAGAAGCCCAACTCAAGCTTCCAGCAGTGCTCATTGCACAAGGAGTTTTTCCTCAGGGCAACAACCCAGGACTCTACAGGCCACCAATCATTCAATTTAGCCTACAGGGAAACCTGCCAGAACCAGTAGGAATGCTGTTATCTGGACTCCAGGCTAGGAGAACACCTCAGCTCTAGATTCTGAAACAGTAGACTGTAAGTCAGAGCCCCCAGGGTGGACAAAAGCAGATCAGGAAGGAAGACAGACTATTGTATGGGAGCAAGTCCAGATGGACGTGAGACCAAGGGATCTACTTTACATTTTATTTTGACTAGACCAGACTTGGAATCCACAAGCAGGAACCAAGGTGACCGACCACGTACACACACAATACTGGCAACACTTGTGACCCCCACAGGGAGTCAGCTAACTGGATTATACTCCACTCGTAATAGCTCTCAAGAATTTTTCATTAGGGGCAATACTATATTCAGTCACATGAAATAATGACACATGCACTAGCTAGCATGGTGTTGGTAATCAGCAATTGCAGCTCTCAGGAGGGTGAGACAGGAGGACTGCCATAAGTTCAAGACCACCTTGAGCTGAACACCAGTCCAGCCCAGTTTACAGACCCTGTTTAAAAAAAAAAAAAACAACCCTAAGCAAAAGAGATGGTTCAGTGTATAAAGGCCCTTTACCACATGATCACCTAAATTCCATCCCCAGAACCTACACTGTAGAGAGAGGAACTAAAGTAGACCTGTGTACATACATAATAAATATAATAAAAAAGGTTTTTTTTTTTGAGACAGGGTTCCTCTCTATAGCCCTGGCTATCCTGGAACTAACTCTGTAGACCTGCCTCTGCCTCCTGAATGCTGGGATCAAAGGTGTGTGCTACCACTGCCCATCTTTTTGTATTATTAAAACATTGTTTCAGCAACAGCTTCTTCGTGTTCCTTTGGTGAACTATCCCCTCTGCTGTCTCCCATTCAGCAGGGTCTCCTGTCTTTCCTCTCCCATCTTACTAGTCTGGCACTAATCCTGTTCTATTCCATCCTCTTGGTCGCCCAGATTCCCAGACAGACACAATCCAAGTCCTAAGGTTCATGGGCAGAAAGTAACTTTTGAAAATCATAGTGAAATGAATCATTTCTGCCCTGAATACAGCAGGGAGCAGAGAACTGAGCAAATTCAAGAAAAGAAAACAAGATCTCTATGACAGCATGGAGCTTTGGGGCTGGGTCCACACCTATTCAAAGTCTTTCTTTCCATAATCCAGTTTATTGGGCATTTACTATACACTATATCAAGGCACTATTTAAGAACTTCATGCTGGGCGTTGGTGGCACACGCCTTTAATCCCAGCACTCGGGAAGCAGAAGCAGGCAGATCTCTGTGAGTTCGAGGCCAGTCTGGTCTACAGCGACTTCCAGGATAGCCTCCAAAACAATACATACAGAGCAACCCTGTCTCAAAAAAAAAAAAAAAAAGAAAAAGAAAAGAAAAGAAAGAACTTCATAAAAATGTGCAACCAGGCAGTGGTCTTTAATCCCCAACTTGGGAGGCAGAGGCAGGCAGATCTCAGAGTTTGAGGCCAGCCTGGGCTACACAGTAAGAACCTGTCTCAGAAAAAAAAATGAAAATGTATTAAAATGTTTGCTACTCCAACAACTCTAAGGAGAAAATAAAGGCAAGATCTAACAATGGCTTTCTTACTATCCTGCCAAGACACATGGTATCCTCTTCAACTACAAACCTATCCTGGTCATGCCTTGAACTTGTTCTCCAACTCTTGTCTCTACTTAATATCACCAGTACTCCATCCTCAGCACCCCTGGTTAATCCAAAGCACTTTCTTCACACGTATACACATTCTGTGTGTGTCTGTCCATGTCTCTTTGTGTCTCTGTCTCTCCCCAGCCTGTGCAGATACTTGAGGAAGCCAGAGGTTAATGCTTCAATATTTTCTCAATTGCTTTTCTACCTTTACTCTTTATTTTAAGACAAGGTCTCTTTTTGAACCTGGAGCTCTCTGCTTTACCTAGACTGGCTAGCCAGCAAGCCCCTGAGATCTGCCTGTCTCTGCCCTCTACTGCAGGGTGTACAGATGTATGTAGTCTTGCCTGGCTTTTTATGTGCTTCCTGGGGACCTAAATTCAGGTAGTGACATTTGTATACTAAGCACTAGCCAAGCCCCAGTCTCTGCTGTACATGTTGCAGATGACATGTCAACACTTTAACAGCCCAACTGAGAGGGAAAAGGGGGGTGGGCAAACAGAGGGCTCCTGATCCAACCCTCCCCCATCCTGAGAAATGGGACATGTCTGCAGACACCTTGGGGTATCAGGACTGGCAAGGTCAGGTGTGTAACTGGCATCTAGCGGACGCTAAGATAAACTTAAATGTCCAATGATACACAAAACAGCCTACCGCAGCTTGGAATTCATACCCAAGATGGCTATTACAGAGGCTAAAACCCATCTCCAACGCTGTGTAGGGCAGCTGGGCACCTTCGTGTTTTTTCTTCCAGGATGCCTAAACTCTCCCACCTTCCTCAAGCCCATTGCTGAGGCAAGGACCTACCAGTTTGCATGTGCAACCACCTTTATCTCCTTCCCCAGACCACACCCTGGCTCATACTTCTCATTCAGGTTCCCAAGGGCTCCAACACCTTAAAGCCCCTCTGCAGTGACCAAGCATGGTCCTAGAAGCCAAGAAGGGGTGTTCCCAAAGGGCACATACAGAAAGAGGGTTCATGTGCACTCCATTATTCTCAAGCTCCCACTGGATGCCCCTTCCCCTCCTCCCTCTCACAGCCAAGCACCAAAAAAAAAAAATTGCACACCCTCCCTACAGATTATCCCACCGTTCTTCAACCTGTTCCTTTGAAAGTAGTTGCCGCTGGGCATTGGCGGCACACACCTTTAATCCCAGCACTCGGAAGGCAGAGGCAGGCGGATCTCTGTGAGTTCGAGGCTAGCCTGGTCTACAGAGTGAGTTCCAGGACAGCCTCCAAAACAATACTGAGAAACTCTATCTCGAAAAACCAAAAAGAAAAAAAGAAAAAGTAGTTGGCAACTTTGAAAAAAAAAACCTCAAGGAATTTTACATAAAAGGTTGGTTCTAGCCCTCTCTGAAAAAGCGGAGGATCTAGGAACACTGATACACTGCCAACTGGCTGGAGCTGGTGGCTCAGCTACTGTGTCCCACTCTTGATCCCCACTGCCTGTCGGTCCTACTGCACCGCCACCCTCCAGCTATCTATGTATCTACTCCTGGGCCTGAAGTCTCACCCTTAACCAACTCATCCTGTAGGACTGCATCTGGTGCCTTTAGGGGGCTAACTGGATCAGATTCTCCCCCATCCGTTAAAACGAAAAATTCTGGGCTAGCAATAACTCTAAAGATAAATAAATAAAGGTGCCTGCAACCAAGTCTTATGACCTGAGTTCAAGTCCATGGACCTACATAAGACTCTAAGCAGGTAAATCACCACCTCCTCCCCAGTTGTTCTCTGGCTTCCAAAAGCCAGGAGCAGCACGACCCACTCCAAATTCACAAAATGTAATAGAAATATTTTTAAAAATAATACAGTGCCCTTTGCAGCATACAAAATCATCCACACTCTTCTTACTTACATTAGCAAATTAGCCCTGAGGTGTCTTTTCTATATTCCCTGCTCTTTAAGCTCTGTACTCCAGGCCAACAGGCCTTTTCGCTCCCAGAATGTTCTACATTCTCGTCCTGAGTTTTTGCAGTTTCCTGTCTGAAATATGGCCTCCTTCATTGTCCACACAAACACTGTACACTGGCTAGGGTAAGCCCCAGGTAAACACAACAGCCCCTACAGCCCCTACTATGCTACACGCGCCCCTCCTCCAGCTTCTGCTAACGAGGTGCTGTTCTGGCAGCCAGAACCCAATGAAAATGTCTTTGTGAGCAATGTACCAGTGTTACCATCGCAGTGCACCCAGAACGCAGTGGAGCCCACAGCAAGGGGTGGGTTCTTTATCCTTTCTGAACCTCAGTTCCTCAGGTTAAGCAAGCATTTAAGAACCCCAGCTCCAAGGACCACGGTGAAGCTAGGACAAGGAACAATTAAGTCTGGCCAGAGTAAACACGTACCGAGGCATAAAGGCTGGCTTTGCTCTTAAAAGCAGCAGCCACATTGAGCTCTTAGATTCAACGATATGCAAAGAAGCTGCGCAGCCTGCACACCCGAGTCTGGGGGGTTAGTAACTGCAGGTTCGCCCAGGGTCTGCAACCACACTAACAATGGCTGAAACGCCTTCTGCACAGTGCTTGGCACAAAAAAAAACACTAGGCATTCGCGCTCCAGCTGTTAGGTGGGGCCGCTGAGCCACTGAGCCTCGTGGTGGTCTGTAGTCGCCGGAATCCCCTGGGCGCGCCTAAAGGCCCCTTCCCCGCGGAGGAGGACAACCAGGGCGGCGGGAAGCGGGATCACGTGCAGGACGAAGCTACTCACTGAGCCACAATTCCAACGCCGCCGCTGACCCTGGGGCACCCTCGGCCGACTCGGTGCCCGCCGGGGCTCCAGTCCCCGCCGCCACTGCCGCCGCTGCCATCTGCCCAGCCCAGTGCCGACCGCAGTCACGCCAGCCCAAATGCTGCAGCCGCCGCCGCCTAGCCTTCCCTCCAGCTGCCGACGCGGCAGGGACAGAGAGGCATGTGATGGGGGCGGGGCCTGGAGGACACGCCCATTTGTGGGCCCGCCCCCGCCCCCAAACCGTTCCTCTGCTCCGCCTCCAACTCAGGAGGTTTTTTTGGGAAAGACCACTTAAAAGGTCAAAAAACAACCTAACAACCTAGCAGGGTACGGTTCCTCTCTTCTATCAGAAGTAGGGTTCCCAGATAAGATAATAGACTCCTGGCTAAATCTGAATTTCAGATAAAGAATCATCCCTTCAGCATTTTTATTCATTAGGGTCTTCCCAGAGCACCTTCCATTCTGGCTTCCACATTTTATTTTCTACATATTACACCATAATTTATAAAACACTTATTTTATGAAAGGTTACTTTTCTCAAAAGCATATCGGGATTCTCACACCCTGAGAAGTGAACACATTAAATATTACATATAAGCATACCTTTTTTCTGATTGTTTTTGGTTAAGGTCTCACATAACCAGTTGGCTTTGATGACCACATAGCTTAGGACCCAGAACTCTTTTCTTTATGATTATTTTTGTTTTTTTGTTTTGTTTTTTCGAGACAGTGTTTCTCTATATTGTTTTGGAGGCTGTCCTGGAACTCGCTCTGTAGACCAGGCTGGCCTCGAACTCACAGAGATCCACCTGCCTCTGCCTCCCGAGTGCTGGGATTAAAGGCGTGGGCCACCAACGCCCGGCTCTTTATTATTATTTGTATAAGAGATTTATTAAAAGCGTTAAAAACATACAAAGAGCATCATGGCAGTGTCTCTGAGGAAAGTGCAGGCCCAGGGGCAGATGAATAATACTTCTTATACAGTTTATAGAAAGGGAAGGGAATTAGATTGATGGTTCTGTTTTCGGTCTCATGCTGGATAATCTTGGACCCAGAACTCTTGATCCTCTTGCTACCATATTCCAAGCATGATTAAAACAAGTGCTACCATTACAGCTTTGTTGTGGTTTTGTTTTTGAGAAAGGGTCTAGTCTAGAATCTATTGTAACAATATGTCCACAAGAAAAGCCAAAGGGCAGACATAGCGTAAAGGACTATTGGAACAAACATGCAAATGGGTATAAAACTAGCTCCAGCCAGTAGAGAAAGCTGCCTGTCCGGTGGACAGGATTAATATGCATGTCTAGAGACCAGAATAATTTTGCATTGCTGTCAATGATCTACTACTGACAGCACTGCTAAGACTGCAGGAGGCCTCAGCCTGGAAGGCAATAGAGACAATGTACAAGGTTCCACCAAAGCACCAGCTCTTTCCTGTTATCCTTTGCCTGTCATCCCCCACCACATAAGAAAAGTTTGGTTTGGTTCTGTTTGTTTTTCAAGACAGAATTTCTGTGTATTGCTTTGGAGCTTGTCCTGGAACTCTGTACACCAGACACAGAGATCCACCTGCCTCTGCCTCCTGAGTGCTGGGATTTAAGGCGTGTGCCACCAACACCACCGGCTGTTATTTTTTAGTTTTATGTGTATGGGTATTTTGCCTGAATGTCTATGCATCACGTGCATTCCTGGTGCTTGAAGAGGCCAGAGAGAGTGTCAGATTCCCTGAAACTGGAGTTGTAGACAATTAAGATGCCATGTGGGTGCTGGGAATTGAACTTGGATCCTTTGGAAGAGTAGTAGACACATTAGACCATTGAGCCATCTTTCCTGCCCTATTTTTAGTGTTTTAAACATTGTACAAGTATGTGTGATGTGTATGCTTGTGGAGCTCAGAGGATGACTTTGTGGAATTGATTCTCCCCTCCCACACATACTTGCATTCTGGGGATAGAACTCACATCATTAGGCTTGTATAGCAATCACTTTTACCTACTGAGCCCGTGAGATGGTGCACGCTTGTACATTCAGCACTTGGGGAGTAGAAACAAGATTATGAGTCAGAGTACACAGCGAGACCCTGCATCAAATAAATAAATAAAAAGAAGTTGTTCATAGTAGTTCATATCTATAATCACAGCACAGGGAAACACGAGGCAGGAAGACCCTTTGTTTGAGGCTAATCTGGGTCTACATCAGTGAGACCCCATTTCAAGAAAAACAAGGACATGTGACGAGTTATATCTGTTTCAAACCAACGTGAAACACTGCTGTCCCTAACACCCTTCAAAACACTAGCAGTATTGAAAACTATACACATGTTCAAGTGACGAGAGACTATGCACTGTGCGCCAGGGCCTATGCTAACCTATCTAGTTGTTTTTCTTAGACTGCTCAAGCTGCTGCAATAAAATGCCATACCCTGGCGTATGGAACAATGGACTTAGTTTTCTCTATTGGCTGGAAGGATGGAGATCAAGATGTTCAGAGACCAAGCCTCTGGAGAAGTCTCCCTCTGGATGCAGATGTTCTGGATTCTTCTTGTGTTGTGTCCTCACTTGTGGAGAAGACACAGAAAGCAGCTCCCTAGTCTTGTTTGTGCACTTTTTTTGTTTGTTTGTTTTTGTTGTTGTTCTGTTTTGTTTCATTTTTATTAATTTTTAAATTTAAATTAAAAACAATCTTATTTTATGAGATTTTATTGTTTTGAGACAGACTCTTAATACTCTGAGCAACCTTCTAGTTTCACCTCCCAAGTGTAGGACTACAGGCTCACAGCACTCATTATACTAGAAGAAGCCCCTTCTTGTTCTAAGGACATCAGTCTCACAGTGCACCTCGAACTCAGGACAGCTTGTAAACCTGATCACCTCACCAAGGCCTTGCCTCTAAGATCACACTGGAGGCTAGGGCTTCAGCAGAGGCATGGGTGGGGGTCATATTTCAGTCTACATTAACCAGGTAGGGAAATTTTTATTTTATTTATTTATGTTGAGCACATCCATCTATGTTACTTGATTTGGTATTTTTGAGAATCACATCACATCTCAGTAAACTACTGATAATTGAAAACAATGGGGAATTATTCTTACCCATAGATATGCAAATGAGTACTATACAGGCAATGCACAACCCCCTTCCCCTGGAAAAACCAGTTCTGCGGTCATTTGCATATTTATTGCAGTATTTCTAACCCTAGAGACTGTTCTTTGAATTCCCCTTTGAAGCAATTTTAAATTCCTACCAGTTTCTTTATCATCTTTTTGTTTTTTTTTTTCAGACAGGGCTTTGTGCATGGGGGCAAGCACTATGCCAACCAAGTCCCATCCCTTTTCATTACTCTTTGTTTTTCAAGACAGGGTTTCTCTGTGTGGCTCTGGCTGTCCTGGAACTCCCTCTGTAGACCAGGCTAGCCTTGAACGCACAGAGATCTGCCTGCCTCTGCCACCTGAGTATGGGGATTAAAGGTGTGCACCACCCACGCCTGGCCTCTTCAGTACTCTTTTTTTTTTTTTTTGGTTTTTCGAGACAGGGTTTCTCTGTAGCTTTGGAGGCTGTCCTGGAACTCACTTTGTAGACCAGGCTGGCCTCGAACTCACAGAGATCCGCCTGCCTCTGCCTCCCGAGTGCTGGAATTAAAGGCGTGCGCCACCAACGCCCGGCTCTCTTCAGTACTCTTAACAGCTCATCTCTTGAAAATTCTAGGGTTGACTAGGCGTTTGTGGCACATTCCTTTAATCCCAGCACTTGAGAGGCAGAGGCAGGCGGATCTCTGTGAATTCGAGGCCAGCCTGGTGTACAGAGTGAGTACCAGGATAGGCTCCAAAACTACACAGAGAAATCCTATTTCGAAAAAAACAAAAATAAAGAAAAGAAAATTCTAGGGCAGGCACATGCCCCTGATCCTAGCATTTTGAGGCAGAACCAGGCCAATCTCTGTGAATTCAAGACCAGACTGGTCTACATAATGAGTTCTAAGACAACAAGGACTATTAGAGAGACCCTGTCTCAACAAAACAAACAAGGGGCTGGAGAGATGGCTCAGCAGTTAAGAGCACTGGCTATTCTTGCAGAGGTCCTGAGCTCAATTCCCAGCAACCACATGGTAGCTCACAACCATCTATAGTGGGATTGAATGCCCTCTTCTGGCACAAAGGTATACACACAGACATGGCCCTTACAACAAAATAACAACAAGAAAACAAAAAGAAAGAAAGAAAGAAAGAAAGAAAGAAAGAAAGAAAGAAAGAAAGAAAGAAAGAAAGAAAGAAAGAAAAGAATGAAAGAAAATTCTAGGGCTGGCAATTTAGCTCAGGAGTGGAGTGTGTTGCCTGGCATGCATATAACTCCAATATGCACAAAAATAAGTGTCTCTCTGATGTGTGTGTGTGTGTGTGTGTGTGTGTGTGTGTGTGTGTGTGTGTGTGTGTACCTCAGAAAAAAGCTCTTTAATGCCAGGTGGTGGTGGCGGCGGCGGCGGCGGCGGAGAGCTAGTTCCAGGACAGCCTCCAAAGCCACAGAGAAACCCTGCCTCGAACCCCCCCTCCCAAAAGCTCTTTAATGCCCAAGGCTAGAACAATTTGAGCAGCAAAATAAAAGGCAGATTCAGTGGCATATGCCTTTAGTCCCAGCACTTGGGAGGCAGGTAGATCTCTGAGTTCAAGGCCAGCCCAGCCCAGCTCCAGGCCAGCCAAGGCTACATAGAAAGACCTTATCTCAAAGGGGAAAAAAAGTAGCATTGGATTATAACCTTTAGCTTAAGATAAATATGCACAAATTCACAGTGATTTAAAGTTGGGTACATGGAGGCAGGTGACACATTTCTCATGCAGAGACTTTCATGTAATCCATGCAATTTCTGTAACTACATGCCACCTGCCATGGAGGTAGATAACAGCTGACTTCTAAACAGTACAGCATGAAAGGTGAGGGGACAAGGAACAGTCACTCTACAGTGTGGAGGAATATGACAAGTGTTTCCTCAGCTAAAGGGGTAAGGATGGGCACTGTTAGATTGTTTTAAGAAGCAGTTATAAATAGAGAGAAAGAAAAGGCAGAAACAAAGAGAGGCTCGACATAACCTTAGCTGGGATCATGTTTATTCACAGCAAAAGAACATCTTGTCACCCACATGTGCAGATGCCCAAAATGTCTGCAGGGAAAGATATCT